TTCTGCTACTTCTTAAAAAAAAAACTCTGAATTTACCTTTGCTAAAAAAAACTGATAGCTCTTAAAGAGTATCCTAAGGACCTCAATGGCCTAGGGACTCTCCCTCAAACCCCACTCAAGCTCACAAGCTGACTTGACCGTCGGAGGTACCACGGGGGAAATAAGCCCCGCCCTCCTACGGGTTTCTTCTTCTTCTTGGCTGTGCAGGAGGTGTAAAGCGTTCTTCTTGTCTGTGTTACAAGATCAAATCCCCCCTATTAAAGGTCGGGCATAAAGTCGGAGGAGGAGTCGGCCCCGTCTCCCATCTTCTTCCTTTTCGGCATCGTCACAAGGATCGAAGCTGCATCCGCCGGCGAAAACCCCCATCTGCTGTGTGATATCAGACATCAACAATACCAGCATGTACAATTTTAACATCTCTACATGGAACTATTGAATTAATACAATTATTTTATAAATCAATAAAACTATGAAATTTTAAAATTACATAGTGAGACGCATTTGACATTTGACTTTCTCTATTTGATTTTCTAAAGCACAATATATTGCATTTTACTTTTTCAACATTTTCTAAAGTACACCATATTACATTTTACTTTCTCTATTTTTAAAATAATATCGCGTTTTTGCCAATAAGTTAAGGGGCAGAACCGTAATAAATTATAAGGAGAGGGGTTTTCTTTACATCAATTAGAGCATAATTATGGACGAGATTTTGGCAGCGCAAGAGCTGAAGACAGAGCATCATCAACAGCAGCAGCGTGAACAAGAGAAGTAAATTAAGAGAGAGAGAGAGAGAGAGAGAGAGAGTAGAATAGAGATCAAATAAATTGTTGATGAGAGAGAAACCAGAAGAACATCCAAATCTCTGTTCTTGGTCCATCCGATCACAGAGACCCCTAATTCATATTTATTCATTTTCCCTTTTTTAATTCCATTAAAATTGTAGATTGCGCTTTGCTTTCTATGGGATAAGAAGAAGAAGCCCAGGTGAATTTTCTGCCCCAAGTATACTCCTTTTTATGACTACTAGATTCTGCTCGTGTTTTGATTTAATGGGTATTTTTTAATTCTTCGTGATTGGGGCTTTGTTCTCGTTAATTTAGGCGTGCATCTTCTTGAGTTTTGCCTCCTTTTATCGATTTATCCTGTCCAAGTTCAGATCTTTTTGCTCATTTTGATCGTCTCTTGGGTTTATCCCTAGTGGGTATTTTTTAATTTTTCGTGATTTGGGCTTTGTTCTCCTTTATCAGTGTTGGGAATTGGTTATATCTAGCCTAAGTAGCGCCCCC